AATTAACTTTTGGTGATGAAGATGAGCAAGCTTTTTGACTGGGACTTAGGGGATGTAGTAAATTACATTCTATTCCTTCTTCATCAAAGTCGTCCTTTTTTCTATTTTATCCAAATAAAAATGAAATGTTTTACATCAGCTTTTATTTTATAATGCATCATTTAGTTTTATTAACTCATAATGTTCCTATCAAGTGGATTAAGCTTATTCTTCTAATCTGCAAACAACAATGCCAGTACATGGTGATTTTTCCAATATTATATAGCACTTTGTATGTTTCAGTTTTAGCTGAAATTTAAATATAGGAGACCTGTGTATTTGAAGAGAGTTTATACATTTATTTGTATGTTTATTTAAAAAAAAACAAAAAAAAAACAGGCTTTATTTTAAATATGTGGGGTACAATTCAGGGTTAGGTATATAAATGTTCATTATGCAGGTTCTTTATAATGATTTGGCATTAGTGCTTAGTTGCTTAGTTTGATAGCCACACTTTAAATCCACATTTTCTTATCAAGAGTGTCTCCATCATCAAGATACTTACCTGCTATTATGCAAAATATAAATAAATGTTTTCCTACTCTTCTACTCGAGATGTTTTAGATTGTATCTGGTCTGCATTTTTATATAAAATGGAGATGATAGTTATAAAAAGGAATACTGGACAAATCAGTAAGAAACAGACTTAGAATTTAAACCTAAGCTAGAGTTTTTGTTCCATGTTGGCTTGTTGTTGTTAATGTTTTCCTCCAACAACTCCCATTGTCACCCATCAGGTATAGAGAAAGATAAATGGCTTGAGTGATGTTAGGATGGGGATTAGAACTGAAAGAAGAAGGCCCAGATAAGGGTGGAGGAAAATGACTGATTATGGAGTAATTTAGTGGCTAGTATAAATGGGTAGACTGAAGACAAGTTGCCACATCCTTTATCAGGTCTCAACTTTGGAGGGATTTGTTTTACTTTATGACTTCCTATTCAGGGGAAAGTCTCTTACTCTAGAATTCAGAGTTCTTTTAAAAACCAGTAAAAATGCAAATGTTATATAAAAACACTATTGTCATTTAAAGGAGAAATAATTTCAGTCTACAATGAATAAGTGCATTTTGCTTCTCTTTTTATTTTCAGAAGGGAAAAAAGGCAAGCTTTTTATTTTCTTTAAAGTGAGCTGATAAATTTTGATGCCATGAAGTTTTAATATCTCATCTACAAACTTGATCATGGACTAGGTTGTACAACATTGTATAAGGTTTCCTCTCTCCTTAAACTTTCAAATAGAAAGGAAAGAAAAATATAATTTGTGATTACTCAAATAAATTAAAAGTAACCTTTTAGGTGAAAATTATGTACTAAAAAGTTTAAAAGTTTTTATTGTTAGTGTTTGAATTTTGCCAGCACTAAGTTCATGCAAAGGTTCAGTACCCTAATTGCAGAATTTTTCATAGAGATAGCAAAAGGTTCAGCAAAGAATAAAGCATTACTATCAAAAGGCATTGTTAAATTATCTGCTCTTACATGGGAATTTTACTGTAATTAAGGAGAACCCAGGAAAATGCATGAGTTACAGTAGATTTAGTCCATTTAATCAATAAAGATGAAACACTTTTTGTTCCTTCACATACTCTTCATAAAATCCTTCTAAACCAACTTACAGATATTGTAATGCTTCAAAATGAATTAATTCTTCAGAAGGAAAATACATAATCACCTTCAGAGCACAATATGAATTTTATCAAGCAAGGTCTGCTTCCAATTACACTCATAAAGCTGCAGAGTGCTTGTCTGGAAGTATCTAAAAGTTCAAGGTTATTGCTTTGCCACACACATTGGTTTGGATGTCTGTTCTGAGGATTTCCATTATACCCTTTATTATCTAACAGGCTCTTCACCCATTTCAAATCAGATCCATCTGATTATTTAAATATACTAGGAATTAAGTAACTGCTTCAATATTAGTAATTAATCCAGTCTAGGGTGAAAGTCAAGTTCTAACGGTGATGATGAGCTGTTGGCTCTGTAAGAATTCTGTGTCCTGCTTCAGGTAATGAGGGAAGCGGGAAAATATTTGCAGAAGAAAAGTGCTTGGGGGAGTGTAGGTCTTGTTCAGCAGTTTTTGCAATATGTGCAACTAGTCCTAAAAAATGTCTCTGCAAGTAACTAACCAAATAAAATACTGTGAATTATTTGTATGCATAACAAATACTGTTTAGGCCAGAAACTGTGTGGATAGCTTTGCTTCTTGAATCTTCTTTGTAAAGAGCAGTAGCCAGATCAACAAAGCATTTTCGTCAGAAAACCATTTTTCTAGTTCTCAGAGAACGTAATTTATCCTGATGGCAGTGGTGGAAAATTAGATGTCCTGTGACAACTCCTGACCTGCAGTGCTATGATTCTGTGATGCAAATAGTTATACATCAGGAATTGTTTCTATCTGGCTATGATGACTTTGGGATCGGTTTTACTCCAGACAGTTCAAACGCATGACCATGGAAGAAGGACTCACAACTTTTTTAGTAGAATTGATATTTTATTAAGAAACACCAGCTGCAATATAAACAGCATCTAACTATAGAGATTTCACTTTTTCTCCTTCAATTTAGTAGCAATTGAATTTTTTTAACATATTAACAACCTAAGAGATAGATAAAGAATCATGAAATTGCTGAAAAGCAAAGTTTCTTAAAATTGTCATGCAAAATTGTCTAATTTTGTTGAACTAGTTCAAGTTATTTGGCACCAACTGAGAAAGGCAGACTTTGTAGTTTAGCAATGTTGTGACAATATTTGGGCATTTCTGAGGTATGGTCTAGAAGTTTCTGTTTAGCCACTCAAAAATTTATTTTTAAAAAACCTTTGCAGAGGGAACATAACTGCCCATTGCATAAGTGTAGGCTATGCAGTGACTTCCTTGCAAAAAGTACTCTATGAGAAGGAGGAAAGAAACGGAAGAAACTTTATAATGAAGAAAACTGATAAACAATACCTCGACCAGGTAATTAAGGTCAACATCAACAGTGGTGAATCACGTTGATAATACGGGTGTTTGATATAATGTGGTGAAGTTGGCACTTTACTTTCATGAACCTCATCCCCAAAACATTTAATCCCAGAATAATTATTTTTAAAAATCAGGCAAATGCCACTAAAGGAAGATTTTGTAAAAATCTCTGACCAGTACTGTGCCAAAATGTAAAGGTCACCAAAAATGATGAATGTCAGAACTGAGAGGAAAGTAAGGAGACACGATGACTAGAACTAGTACCTTGCATAGAAATTTTACATTTCTAAAATAGAGAAGAAGTGTTTGATATACATACAAATCAAAGTACTTTTTATTTGCTTTTTGATGCTATTTTAGCTACTAGATGAGATGGAAAACTTTTAACATAACAACTTACCAGATTTTAGCAGAAGTACAGACTTTCTTAAAGTTAGTTAATTGTTTTCTGATCCCAGACCAGAAAAAAGAGTTTGGGTAAGAACTTAGGAAATAAGAATAGAGTATGAATTTTAGTTGATTAAGACAAAAGCCTTACATAGTGTAACTAAAGGTGAATGTAAACACAAATCTATTATTCCATCTCAAGTAAAGACAGACTGGCTAAATCTTAGTGTTGTTGAATTAAAAATTGTCAGGTGATGGCATCAACTGTTCTTATAAAGGCGGGGGAGAATATAACGTTTGGGGGAACATGACTTAAGAACAAGCTTAAAATCTTTTTAAATACCAGCATTCAGAAACAGATGAATATAAAAATATGATAGATTAGTGTAGCAGGTTATAAGAATTAATCCTAGATCTCCGAAGAGCTGGTAACATAGCCTTGTAAAGGAAGCCACCTGGTAGTTCAGATCAGAATATTATGTATTCTGGTAAGGCTATTTGACTAACTAGATAGTTTTTTTTACCAAACAACAATCAGGTTATGCCACATTAAAGCACACACATACATTTCTAAAATAGAGAAGAGGAAGTGTCATATACATACAAATCAAAGTACTTTTTATTTGCTTTTGGATGCTATTTTAGCTACTAGATGAGATGGAAAACTTGTAGCATAACAACTTATCAGATTTTAGCTGAAGTGCAGACTTTCCTAGGTTCATTGTTTTTAAAGAAAAATGTTTAGCTTGCAGATTTCTTTTCCATCTGAAGGCTTAAAAAAAAATTGGACTTGAACCTGTTGGTATGTACAATCATTTGTTTTTTTGGGTTTTTTTTGAGTTGGAGTTTCACTCCGTCGCCCAGACTGGAGTGCAGTGGCCACTCCCGGCCACCGCAGCCTCGACCCACTGGGCTCCGGCGATCCTTCCGCCTCAGCCTTCTGAGTAGCTGGAATTACAGGCGCGCGCTACCACACCCGGCTGATTTTTAATTTATTGTAGAGATGAGGTCTCGCCAAGTTGCCCAGGCAGGTCTCGAGCCCGCGAGCTCAGGCAGTCCACTCACCTCAGCCTCCCAAAGACGCGGGATTACAGGATGAGCCACCGAGCCCGGCTTGTACAATCATTTTTTAAGTCCCACCTTATTTCACTGGTTTGCAGGAAAATGAACTACATACTCGATACATATTCTGTTTGGAACAAAGCAATTATCTAAGATGTAGAATGTACAAAGCTCTAAAATGTTTTATAATACAGATAACCAAGGCATTGGGCATTACTGTGTCGTGGATTTCTGGTTTCCTTATAGGATATAGATGGGTTTCTTGAAGAAGGTCTGCATTTGGTTGCCTTTATGCTACACCTTTGCTGTTCTTTTTTCCTAGGCCCCTTTTGCAATGTGTAGGAGAAACCTATCAATCTCTTCTTTCCATATTTCTTCCCTTGGGAGACAATGTCAGCTCTTGTATCTATTAATCAGGCCAAACTAAGGAGTTCATTTTAACAAATGTACAGTGACAGACACCTTCTTTGACCAGATGATGTTCCTTCAGAACTTAAAGGTATATGCTCAACACATCTAATAAACAGCAGCATCTTTCTTTTTTCTATCCTAGTGCACTGACAGGCAGAACTCACCTGTCACATCACCAGGATCCTCTCCTCTTGCCCAGAGAAGAAAGCCACAGCCTGACCCTCTCCAGATCCCACATCTAAGCCTGCCACCAGTGCCTCCTCGCTTGGACCTAATTCAGAAAGGCATAGTTCGGTCTCCCTGTGGCAGCCCGACTGGTTCACCAAAAGTAAATCAATTTTATTAGAAACACAGATGATAATTTCATGTGACAGTGATTGCTCAGATTCTTTTAAATTTCATTAGTCGTGATTTTTGTGCTCTTAATTGTTTATGAACAACTTTAATGGGTTTCTCATTTATTTATGGTGACCCCAAGATCATTTCTGTTGCTTTATTATTCTAAAAGTTGTATAATTATTGCAGAGAAAGAGAGTACATGCTGTAGCCCCCTGATTTGCTAAAATAAATAGCAGAATAAGTATAGTTATTCTGTAAAATGGATTTAAAAGGTCATTAGAGGCGGTAAAGTAATTTACATGCTGTTATTGAATGATATTTTACGCTCATTTTTATAGTGCCATGACAAGAAAAATGTGATAGAGTGTATTTGCATAAGAGCTTAAAATGTGATAAATTATCACCCATTTTTCAAGGTGACTCAGAAGAGGGAATTACATATACTTTTTATACCTGGAGGAATTAATTACAACAAATTATGATATTTGCAAAGTAATTACATTACTGTTTCATATTACAGAAATAATTCTAACTCTCAGCCTATAGTTTATTTTAATTCTCTATGGATTTTTTCAAATTTGATATTTAGGACATTTTAACATAAGATTTTAAAAATTAATTTTATTTGGTAACATGCTCTGTAGTCTAAAATTTGTTGGAAGCAAAATATTTTTAGTGGTAGTTGATTTTTCTACATTACTGTTAACTTGATTTTAAGATCCTATGAAGACTTATTAGAATGCTATTTAGGATTATGTAAAACACACAATAGATTCCTTTTTTCTCTGCTATTTTCTAATACTAAGATTTAAAAATCCTTTATCAGATGAACCATATAAGTAAAAATCAAAAGCTCTGAAAAGCGTGTACACACATTCAATTCAGAGGTATATACATTTGCATTTCTGTGTAAAAATCAGACTGGTTTCTTTTTATTTTTTAAGCCTCTGTAAAATTGAAGTAACTATATAAATTAATGGTGCTCTGTTATTTGTGACTTTTCCCTCTCTGGTAGTATCTAATAAACAAAGAACGGGAGCACATTTTTCCCGTATTAGTTGTTCTGTATTACAATGATGAAAAAATATATATTTATTTATTTATTTTTTTGAGTTGGAGTCTCACTCTGTGGCCCAGGCTGAAGTGCCGTGGCACACTCACAGCCACCCTAGCATCGAGCTGCTGGGCTCCAGCGATCCTTCCGCCTCAGCCTTCCAAGTAGCTGGAACTACAGGCACGCGCTACCACGCCCGGCTAATTTTTGATTGATTGTAGAGATGAAGTCTCACCATATTGCCAGGCTGGTCTCAAACCCTTAGTCTCAGAGGCAATCCTCGGCCTCCCAAAGTACTGGGATTACAAGCTGAGCTACCGAGCCCGGCCGAAAACAAAAATTAAAAAAAAAAAAATCTTTCGGTCTTCCAGATACATTACAAACCAAGTTGCTCTTTTAAAAAGCTAAAATAATGGCAGCAGCTTTGATGGATTTCTCCTAAATCATAGAGTGTGCAAATAAATTATTGATATATTGTTTTAATGTCCATCAACGTTATATAATTTTGATCATCTACTTTTTTCATGGTTTCTATAATGTAACATTTGCATTTACATACTTATTTCCATTAAAAACCTTAATGAAATGTACCTATATGGATTTTTCATTAATTTTTTAAAAATTTCATTAGCTAGTAATACAAAGGAACTTATTAAAAGGTGGCATAGGAATCTAGTGGAATTCCATCACAGCTTAGAAAACAGTCAATAATATACTAGTCTGGAAGTCTTTTTAGTGCATAGGAAAACTTAGTTTTCTTTTCTCTTGTGTTTCTTTAGTCTTCGCCTTGCATGGTGAGAAAACAAGATAAACCACTCCCAGCGCCACCTCCTCCCTTAAGAGATCCTCCTCCTCCTCCCCCTGAAAGACCTCCTCCAATCCCACCAGACAATAGACTGAGTCGACACTTCCATCATGTGGAAAGTGTGCCTTCCAGAGACCAACCAATGCCTCTTGAAGCCTGGTGCCCTCGGGACGTGTTTGGGGCTAATCAGTTGGTGGGGTGTCGCCTTGTGGGGGATGGTTCTCCAAAGCCTGGAGTCACAGCGAGTTCCAATGTAAACGGAAGGCACAGTAGAATGGGCTCTGAACCAGTACTTATGCGGAAACACAGACGCCATGATTTGCCTTTAGAAGGAGCCAAGGTAAGCAAAATGCAAACCAAAAGCTCAAGAGTCGGCTAATGAACTTTTTGATAGTAGGCAGCATAAAAGACTGCAGTTTTGCCTGCAGTTTTGCGTTTTTTCTTTTGTTTGTTTTTGCCTAGTATTCCACTTCCTTGCAGATCTTTTAATTATCTCCAAGTTAATAATAATCAGAAGCTCATTAAAACTTGAACTTAAAAGAAGTTAGGAAGAAGCTTCTAAGTAATGATTTAATTTTAATGTGAAAACAGTAGACAATGTGCCAAAGATTTATTTCACCTTCCTTCCTTCATTTGCCAAAAATTTATTATATTAATAGCTTGATGGTGGTATAATCAGCAGTGTATTTTTAAACCCTCCTAATTCCATCCAGTTAAAAAAAGTTGTATAACTATACATGTCATAAATCAGTTGTTGGAATTAGTCATTGTTGTTTAGGAAAGTACACGTTAGGTAACCAGGTAAAGTGAACTCATATATTTAAAAACACCAAACCTAGTTCACTCTAACAAATCAAGCACTTTTCCCATAAAATTGAGACATTCTCACACTTGTTGATTTTTAACATGAAAGACATCACCACTGTCATTTATATGTCCAGGAAAGAGTTAATGTGTAGAGGAAACTGAAGGGACAGGCTTCGAAATCATTGAGTTTAGACTCTTGGTAGTTTCTTGACTCTTGGTAGTTTCTTACTGTAACAATTTCTGGTATTTATTTCCATGATGTTTCTGGCTCTTTTGGTTTTTTTGAAGATTATAATATTAAAGTGACCCCATCTCTATAGATCTTAAATTGTTATTTTAGGACAGTAATCTTTTCCTTCAAAATAATGGTTTGAAGTGATGAGTTCATAATATAACATATTCAGGAAACAAAGAAGTGTGATGTGTGACATGTACTTAACTCCTCTATGTGTGTCCATGCACACACATGTGCAAGTGTGTGAAAGTACAGTGACTAGAACTTTGTATAATGATATTTCACCTCTGATATTATAGGGTAGGAAGAGTCAAAACTCTGTAGTACAACTTTTAAAACAAAGGAAAGGTGTGCTGGCAGGAATGGTGGCTCTTTGCCATTGACTCTCCTTGGTGCCTTTAGGCTCATGTATTATAAATGTGAGAATTTCTAAAGATTTTCTCAAGGTCATCTAAATAAGACCTAGATGTAAGAGAAAATACATATAAAAGCAGTTTTATAATGTTATCTGAAAATAGAGAACTTGTCATCAAAAGAGTTTTTTGACAACCTAAATTCCGATTGAGACCTGCTACTTTTAATTTTTTTTTCTTTTTTGTGATTTTTTTTTCCCCTGTAGCCTCATTACTTTTCATTCATATGTGATCCTACTTGTCTTGGGAAGAGAACTAGAATAAGTTCTAATGTGTACTGACTGTTTATAGCTCAGTAGCATGTTATAATTTATTTTCTGATGAACTTCAAAATATTTAAAATATAATAATTATCATAGCCACTTCATTGAAGACCTTTGTTTCAGGGTTTTTTTTAGATGACTTGTTATATAGTTTTAGCACTTATATAAAACCTTCCCTCCTAAGTCCTAGAATACTGGTTGTTAATTTTTTTTACGTGATGTTACTGGTTTAAAAATTGGGGTGACAGTTTCTTAGATTATAAGTATGAGATTTCATTTTTACTATATTAACTTCAGGTAGGAAACATTAATAGTGAGTTTAGTTATGAAAATTCCTCTAAATGCTTCTGTGTAAACTTTCGTGTTCTGGTTATTGATACAGATCAGGATATCTTTGAGAAAATTGCAAGTATATCCTACTGTAACCTACATTTTAGTATTGTTTAGTTCTATCTAAATAATCCTCAATAAGATACTTCAAGGTCTAGTCTCACATATTGTATGTATTAATATTACAGTGCTTATATCCTCAAGGTTAAATTTTTTGTTACACCTAGATTGGGTTTTTCAACCAAAATTAGATTTCTAATTTCAATTTAGTCGTTTGACTTCTGAGGTGGATTATAAAGAAGGATTGATATATAGTTAATAGATTGAATGCATAAGACTATAAGACAATGACTCCTCTTTTATTACCTTTATTAAGGAAAAATGCTTCCACTTCAGTAGACCATAGGGTATATCAAAACTTACATAATGTAGAAAATGTCCTATTTCTCTTATTATTTCATCATTGGTAGACTTAGGGGACTGATTTCAGCCAAAACTGACATAAGACTGAGTCTGTGTAGGATACCGTGGTTTCGTTGTTTGCAGCAGAGGTCATGCTTCTCAGTTTCTGTGATCCTCAGTTTCTGTGATCCTATGATCTCAGTTTTATTGTGATCCAGGCTCTGAAATTAGACCTGGAATTCACTTCCTACTCTAGAAAGTACTGACTTTGTGGATATGAACAGGTTACTTCATCTTCTCCCCGAACCTCACTTATTTTCCCTATACATAAAATGAAATTTTATTTTATTCCTTGTAAAATGAAATAATAGTATCTGGTATCTAGGAGAATCTTTAGCTTCCAACAGCCTAAATTCCCATTCCCCTTGATTTGGGAATGCAACCAAAAATAACAGCTAGACATGGAATATCAAAATAAGTTGGAATTGTTCACATTTTAATTCAAAATAGTTGCCTTCTTTTAAACCAAGATCATCTTCTCTTTGCCCCTCTCCTCTCTCCTTTTATTTAGCATAGTTCCTAATGCATACTTGGTAAGCACATGATGACTTGGTTGCTTTAATACAATACTTCAGCTGATGATGAAGGTAAAGAGTGTATGTGTCAGGGCTAAGGAGGGAAGGAGAGGTTGGAGGAGGAGGTTGGCCCTCATACACAAGGAGTCCAAACAGGTGGTCTTTTCTCTCTTGCGTAATTTTTTAAAAATATGATTATTTTTCTCTTTAAAAGAGTATTTATTATAAATATGTAGATCATGTACAATAAGAAAAGGAGCGATGAAGGGGAGATGATTTTGATTTTTTAGAAGACTAATATTTTTAATGAAAATGATAAATGTTAACAGCAATGTATTCTCACCCTTCATGTTATTGGGCAGTTTTGTTTTAATGAGAAAAAGGAATGTAGAAATTTAGATATTTGGAGGCTGATATATTATCTTCACGTAACCCATCAGTCCCTCTAAATAAAAGCAACCACACTTTTTTTGTTAAATAGTAACAACTGAAGTTTAGGTTTAGTTGTTTTTAGTAGAGGTCATGCTTCAGGTTAACTATGGTCTTCCCATTTAGTGATAAGAAAGCTTAGATAAGTCCTAGAAATTTAAATGAAAATTAAATGAACATATGGGATACACTCTATAAATGGATGAGGACTCACTCCCCTTCACTATTTGTCCTCTGTCAGTGTGTCACTTCTCATCATCCATCAGAACTATTTGCCTTTTTTATTTGCATTGTCACTAGATAAATGGTAAGGGAAGTGAGAATAAATTAAATCCTAATTAACTCTATTTGCTAATTGTAGAGAGCTCTGAGGAAAAAGTCTTCTAATTCATAGTTAAAATGAAGTGTAAGAATTTTTTATAGCAATATTCATTTACTCCCTTTACTCTTCCCCTCCCACCCGGCATAAACAAATGCCAGCTAAGGTAATACTTTACTTTTAATATATATCTACAAGCTAAGAACTATTAGGTTATTTATCTTATTTTATTGGTAAGAGATCCTTTTCCTTATGACAGTTTCCATTCTCGGAAATTTTCAGATTCTAGCCACATTATAAAGCTATTTCTTAATAAATACCTTGTTGTTTAGTTGTTGGTTTGTTTAAATTATCTTGTGAAAATAATTGTACCACGGTATTTAAAAATAGAATTCGAAATTTATTTCTAACAATTAGTATTGTGCCCAACTGTCATTATTTGTTCTCCTTGAGAGATTAAGAATACTGCTGTTTCTTATGTGATAAAACTCTCTTTAACTTGCTGTGTTACTTACACTGACATTGATCTAAAGATGACCCTCTGTATAATAATCTTTTGAAGATATTGCAGATAAATACATCAAATGATTCCTTTTTTTGAGAATGTGGCTTTTTGTACTTTTGGTGGAGAGGCACATGTTTGTATGAATGACCTTAAATTTATCTGTAAGTTCCAAAGACTGCCCTTCAGAAAACAAGTCCTCTGTGTATACTGGTTTCATTTTTTATCTGATGTTGAGAGACAAAATACAGGGATACTTTAGAGGTAGTATGTGTAGGGCCTTACACGTGTAGCATGGGGAAACGGTTTGTGTTTAGAGTTTTGTAAAAATAAATGTTTTTCTTAATTGTGTTAAGATTTTCAGAAAAAATATGTCTTCTCTGTATTTCAAGAGTCCTGAATATCTTAACCTTCAGGCTTTAGGCAATATCTGAATCATCAATTTCAAACATTTCAAACTTTAAGATTAAGATTAGATGAAACCTTGAGGCAACTAGAAAAATACTAATCTAGGATAACCTAGATTTATAATAAATTATACAACCCAGGTTACACTTCTTCTACAGATTTAAACTTCCATTAGTGTATTCTTATTCCTTCAACTGATTACCTAATTCAGCCATGTAGTACTTAGGATGTTCAAGACACTGTGGAAAATGCGAAGATGAAGAAAGCACAGGCTAATGAAGACGAGACAGGCATATGATGAAGAGATAAGACATAGGAGAAGCATCCACGAAATATGTAGGATCCCCAAGAAGAAAAAAATTCTGAGAGAGGTAGGGTTGAAAAGAGAGTAAAGAAAACTTTGTGCAAAAGGGTCACTGGTTATTGACATTGAAAGATTGGCACCTGTTGTTTGTGTAAGCATGACAGGAAGGAATAGCATGGAGATGGGAAAATATGTGTAGTGACACCTTGTCAATTTGGGTAGAGTATAGGTCGTGTAGAGAGAGTAGGCAAATGACTTAACACTATGGCAGTGTAGGTTGAAACCAATCATGGAGTGAACTGAATTCTATTCTAAGTTATTGTAATTTAGGGGACAGGAAAGAGAGTTAAAAGTTGTTGTTTTAGTGGAAGAATGCTAGGGTCAGAATTGTGAACTTAGAAGATTGAAATTGATGGCATTTCCTATGGCATTGTGACAGAGTTAGGACAGTGAGCTAGGGTGGGAGATGACAGAAAAATGTTCCTCAGCTGGATCAGTCAGTGAGATTTCAGTATACTGCTTCATTTGATACTCTCGGTCTATATGTTTGAGGAACTGTAATTTTCTACCATTTACAAAATGGGTTGCTCAGATTTCTAGAGAACATTAAATATTTGCTTTTAGCTCAAAATGTTGTGATTTACCCAGGTAGTGGCAACTAAAATGATTTTCTAGTGTAATGAAATGAGTGAAGGTTGGAATGTGGAATTCAAAATGATACCATGTTAAATCCTATCGCCCAACTATCGAGAAATATAAAGTCACTTTAGACGAACAGAGGTATGAGCCTCACTTTAGTGTCTGCACATTTAGGTCCTTTGTTGTTTGCAAACTTGTGTAACCTCAGTCTATAAATTAGGAAAGAACTATACAGAATTCCATGTTGAGTATTAGTCATATCATTAACTTTCAGCACATATTTTAGAACAGTTTACAGAAAGATCAGCCATTAAACAAATTATGTATATTTGCTGAGAGTATTTCAGTAATGAGTTTCTTCCAGTGATACATAAAGAAAGTCATTTCATTGGTTAATACTTTCATTAATAAGATTATATAAGCCAATCTGTCGGTGTTCATGCAAGCCCTACTGTGTGGTGAAAGCACCGTAAGGAATGTGCTATAAAATGAAAAAGAATGAAAGCATTTTTGTCCTGAAAAGGATCAGTGTGGCATTAATCCTGTTCCACAGAACATAAGCAAAATATCTTCAGATGCTAAGCACCAAATGGATGGTTCAGAAAAGATACTATAGCATTTTAGTGGCAGGAGATATCCTTTAGTTACTTTGTATCAATAACAGTATTCCTGAAGCAATTAGAGAAAATGTCATTTGCACTTTAAAGTGTGCTGATAGATTGGTTCACAAAACTAAGAACAAGTCACTTAATTTTCTTAGGTATTGCCTTCCTAGAGAATAAATCACCTCATTAACTGTACTTCGTAGTTTTGCCAGTTATAGACATCTTTGCCTGTATGACTTGTCTTCATGAAATTTAATGGTAGTACGTAAAAATGTTGTGCAAGCTCTGTTATTAATGTATTTGTTCTCTCATTTACCTAACGTGCAAGATGGAAGCATTTTCAATATCAATAAATGTTTGAGTGTATGCATACTCTTTTTCAGATCTCATTATAAAATTATGGTTGGCTTATTGTTAAATTAGAGCCAATATAGCTGAAACTGTTATTCCCATATCTCTCTCTTATTTCATTATTGCTGAAATTTTATTAAGTATCTATCTATGTTGAATGCTTTGTCCTTAAAGAACAAATTATTGCATATAAAATGTACATTACATTTTCCAGAATGAATTTTAAATATATCTGCGACAGAAACATTAAGGATATTTGATTGCAGAAATCTTGCATTATATCTATTTCAGCAGTAAGCAAAGAACTCCAATTAAGAATAGCTTCAAAAGCTCAGTTTCACAATGAGAATTTGTGGTTTGATACATGTACTCGTATTTGTCAGTTAAAAGGCATTTATTATGTTAAAGGAGTTTACTGAACTTTGCAATGATTAATATCTATTAGAAAATTTCTTCTCTCTAGCAGAGTTAAAAAAACTTTGCCTTGTTCTGTAAATTGGTCCATAGTCAAAAGCCTATGATAAAATCATTTCATTTAAAGGTAATGTTTTATCATGGTGTAGCTACAGTATATTGAGTCTAATGAGAAACATGAAAAAGGGAAATTTTTAGAGTGAAACTAATGCTATGAAATTCAGTTTTGTAGCTTTGAAATGCAAACATTGATACGTTTAAAATGTGTTCTTTAAACTTGCTTCTTTTTTATTTAAAGTTGATATATAAGGGTATGGCCCTTTCAATTTTGTGTTCTAAAACTTCAATGCCATTATAGAAATATGATGGGGAGAAATTAATGGGTAGGTCCTCCACGGAATTATCTGGCACTGTTCAAATTACATTGCATCCATTTTGTTCCATCAGTCTACCTTTTAATTAGGAACTAATAAGAGTTTACAAAAGAGCTCTGTGATAAAAATCTAGTGATTACTTATAAATCTTCAAATGTGTTTAGTTGTCTCCTGTGAATATGTCTTTGCAAAGTTATCTTATTGTTTTCCCCCTTTTAAATTGCTCTCATTTGTTGTAGAAGCAAAGAGCAATCGTTTAGACAATTCCCGAAGTGTGACTGAGAAATTTGAAAACCAGAATTTCTTAGCTCTGAGTAATTGAATACTGAATTTGGATAGTGCCACATGAGCAAGTTAAAAATTGTGGTTTGTATGCTTAAAAATTGAGAATTATGTTTAAATATGTCTATTTTGAAAGTCAAAATAGGTCTCTAGTTATTATTGGTGTTGAAGCCTCAACCATGAAAGAGCAAAAGTATTTCTGATTATACTCCTGTACTGTTTTATCAGGAAGTAAGAATATTCTGTTAACCCTGGAGAAGGATAATTGAGAACACTTTTATTTGGAAGGAATTGTAAGAGTCAGAGCAGTACTGCTTTTTTTCTTTTCCAAATCCCTATAGAGAATGCTAACTTTTCAGTAAAAGCTCATCATAATTTTGGCACATTTTACTATCTACCTTTTTATCTAGCTACCTATATCTGATTTATGTAAATTATAGCATTACCTCTCAATATTCAAGAATCATGTTGTATCTCATTTCTAGAATTTTTTGTACTTGATTCTACTTTGGGTAGTGGTGAATCATCACTGTGGTGCTACTGATTCCTGATACATGTGTGACTTTTCACTTGCTTACATATATGGGACTTATACATTCTATGAAAATCATAGGTTTTCTTTTTTTCTTTTTTTTTTTTGAGTTGGAGTCTCACTCTGTCACCCAGACTGGAGTGCAGTGGCCGCTCCCGGCCACCACAGCCTTGACCTGCTGGGCTCCGGCAATCCTTCCGCCTCAGCCTTCCAAGTGGCCAGAACTACAGGCGTGCGCTACCACGCCTGGCTAAGTTTTTTGATTTATTGTAGAGATGAGGTCTCTCCAAGTTGCCCAGGCGGGTCTCGAACCCGCGGGCTCAGACAATCCACTCACCTCAGCCTCTCAAAGCGTGGGATTACAGGCTGAGCTACCGAACCCAGCTAAAAATCATAGGTTTTCTAAGAGCTGCCACTGTTTTAAGGTCCTCTAGAAGTTAAATTCTTAGAAACTAACTGTTTGATTTACTTTCAGGTCTTTTCCAACGGTCACCTTGGAAGTGAAGAATACGACGTTCCTCCCCGGCTTTCTCCTCCTCCCCCAGTCACCACCCTTCTCCCTAGCATCAAGTGAGTGTTAATTGAATTTGGAGATCACTGTCCCTACATTGTGATATGGTCAAGAGTGATTTTGAGGTTCTCAGTACAGAAACTACAGAATGAATAAAATGTCATCAATAATAACCCACCTGGATTTATAAACTAAAGTATCAGAAATCAAGATCGTTCCTGATTTTTTACTGGCAACCACAGCTTCTAAGAGACTTACCTAACTCTTGAGATTACACATAGAGCAAGAGAGAGAGAAAGCTAAGTATTCCTTGCTTCAAAGAGGGCAGAATAGGACGGTGAGCTTTCCCTTCCAGTTTATCTCTCTTCCACATTTTATCTCAACCACTCAGTTTGACATCATAAAATCATCTTTGATTCTTCCAGTTTTTCCATTTTTCAATCCATTCAGCCATTAAGTCCTGTTGATTGTTCTTTTGGAGTTTTTCATACTCAGCTAATCTTCCCCATTGCCTTAGCTTTGCCTCAGAGCTGGACAACTGAAAGAGCCTTTTATCTGATCATCTGATATGATCTCAGAATTCATATCAGTGGGTTTAAGGCTAGAAAAATGAGGTAACTGGGTGTCTCGTTTGAAACATGGGGACACAGAGGCATACTAGACAATTACGTGATATCTACCCAAGTTAAACCAGGATGAAACCAAATACCCAATTCTCGTTTCCTTACTCTGTGTATGAAGTCAGGTTGCCCACCTCTCCTTCAGTACGTTTTGTTCACTGCAGTTGAGTTTATTTAATTTAAATTCTGCCTTCCCAGGTGACTTTCTCACTCAAAACTCAACATTGTTTCTTTTTTTCTACTAAATTTCTTAATGCTAGCAGTAGGATCTTATAGAATTTTACCAGTTAAAATCGTCAGTGATTTCTAATGCTTGCCCTGGTATCATATCTAGGTTTTTTGTTTTGTTTTGTTTTTTTGTTTTCTGGCTTTGTGAGATTCTTATGCTGTTCACTCCTGTGTCCCCAAGAAATTTACAATCTACTTTAGAAAGTAAAATTAACATATCTGAAATCGCTAGAGAACACTATGCACTTTTAAAATGCTGACTTGGTAGTTTTAAATGAGTTTAGAGGAGAGGCTGTAAGGGCTTTGTAAGTCAAGGATATTTCAGAGACAGGGTAGACTCCTGACTCAAGGAGGAGAACGATTGGAAAAGGCAGGTTATGAGAAAAAAGCAAGAGTTTGACATAGTTCAGGGGACAGTGAGAAACTCAGCTAATTGGGTAGTCTCCAGTGAGAGTCTCTCTTGGAACTGTCAGATATTTAGCAGACATAAGGAGTTGGAAGCAATTATGCATATTCTGTGTATTGGGCTCCAAATCAGTGACAACATATGATGATATTCCAGCCCTAAATGAACGCTGGATATATATGTATGTAATAAAACATCTAAGCTCAATTACCTCTAGTAACTCAGAGAATGTCAGAAAATGAAGTAAATGAAATCTTGCTAATTAGAGATTAAATTTTCCCATTCTGTTTATTAAATTCATATTGGCAAGCAGAAAGAGAAGCGGAGGTCAGGGTTTGCTTCATTTGTATTTAACATTAAGTACATGCTTCTCTTCTCTACAAATACATAGTAAAATTTATTTTACTGATATTTTTCTAACACTTAAGTTTGTAAATGCTTCTAAAATTACCATGTAGTTATACTTCCATTTGCCCACTCAATATTTTCCATTCAGAAACAGTGCAGTTGTTTTATTTAACTACTGAAGTATTTTTATTTATTAAATTTTTGTTTGTTTGTTTTAAGTTTTCTTTTTTACAGGATCTGACTCTGTTGCCCAGGCTTGTGGTGTAGTCATAGCTCACTGCAGCCTCAACTCCTGGTCTCAAACCATTCTCCTGCCTCAGCCTCTAGAGAAGCTGAGACTATAAGCATGTGCCACCATACCTGGCTAATTTTTTGGTAGAGATGAATCTTACTATATTGCCCAGGCTGGGCTCAGGCAATCTTTCCACATCAGTTTCTCAAAATACTGGGGTTACATGTGTGAGCCACCACACCTGACCAACTAGTGTAATATTGTAACATTGCATGCTTAACAGCAAATTTGTTTTTCTTTTGCAAATTGCAAGCCAACTTTTTGTTGTTGTTTCTGATTCTGTAGGTAGCAGTTGTGCATTTTAGAAAATATGCAAAGCATATAAAAGAAAGAAAAGAAGACAAATAAAATAAGCTTATACTTACTCAAATATCAGTAATCAGAGTTTTAACATTTTGACTTTTTATTTAAATGTTTTTTCTAATGTCATTTAGATTATATTGTAGAGATAATTTCATGCCCTCCTTTGTCAGTTAATATTAGGATAATCTATTTTTAAAAACCATTTAAGTACTGTGCTTATTATAAAACCAGCATGGAATTCTAATGTGAACATTAGAGTGAAATCATATTGTATTCCAGACCTGACGCCAACATTATGAATTTGTCTTTTTTGAAGAAGGTGACATCTGTGAGTCTCTCTTTCTTCATCTGATAAATGAGAGGAACAGTTTAACTTAAACGGTCTTCAAATTCCTTTTAGGTTCTATGCAGTGTTTTTCAAGGGTTTCGCATCTTGCAGTGTTTGTTATGTGTGACCCCTGAATGTTCAATATGGTCAGTTGGTCTCATCTGCTGAAGACAGTATGAGTAGGATTACTGCCCTGGTTGACGATGGTGATGAGGAGGATGATTGGTCTACTGTGGCCTCATTCGAGTGTATAGGTAGAGTACAGTGAGTGTAGATCCCTGGTTCTGGAGAGTCATAGAACAGAGGCCTTATCAAAATGTCACTCACTGATACAGGGATATTGGATATTCAAGTATCTACTTCCATGGTAGACTGTTGGTATATGTTTCAAAATAAGGTCAACGCAAAATTGCAAATTGTTAACTAAAACAAACCTTTGCAGATCTCACAAATGTTGAAAACCCCAATGCTAAATCCAAAAATGTCAAGGCTAGAATTTACCTTTAAATTTCTACTATGTCATAATAAATATTTACTGAAGCATAATTGTTAAATATTTGATACTATTACTGATTTCTCATCACTCGTGATAGTACTTGTGATAGTACTTTGTGATACTTGTGATAGTACTCTGTGATAGTTTCTTTTTTTTGCTAAACTGAATATTCACAATTATATATAACTTTTGTTGTATAATTTATTTTGAGACCTAGAAGAATAAAGAATTTATTTCTAAAAATATACTGTTGTAAAAGTAAGTGGAAATTGTATGGATATACTTAATTTTTCTGAAATAAGTTTTTCTGTTAACATCATTAACTCTTAGCTATAAATGTAAATTAAAAGTTTTTGTTGTTTTAAAGATGTGGGGTACAATTCAGATTTAAGTATACAAGTGGTCATTGTACAGGTGAAGTTTGGGCCTCCCTTTGGTCCCCACTTGACCTGGTTTGAGATCAGGTATCCTTATTGATGTTTAAGTATAAAATTTTAAGTAAATGCTTCAAATACAAATAATTATTCTTTAGATGGAGAATAAAATAAACCTATGTGAATTTTTACTTTATACTTTAAGTTATTGATTTACTACCATACTTATTTTGAAACAATTTAATTTTTCAAAATTAAACAAAATGGAACTCTAGGCAGTTAAAAATATTTATTTTACTTGACACACAATATGTTGGCAAATAAACATATTAAAAGCAATTATTATTACAAGTAATGATGGAATAATTACTTCGGGTAAGACATGGTCTAGGATGCTGAGGAATATATTTTTTTTAGTACTGTTTTTGTACCTTGTTTTTTAGAGATAATCTTTTTTGTAGTTTTGACTTATTAACCTTAGACTTTCAAATACCCACAAGCCAATATCACTTGGTTTGTATTTTTGTAAGAAAATTTTTTTGTTGTTGCAGTTGGTACTGTTGATGGTTATTATATATTTTTTCCTAAACAGATAAGCTTCATGTTTTAGTTCAGTAATAGAGACTACAGAATTCACTCAACAGCCCTATTTTCATTCAGCTTCTTTAGTGACTGGAGGTACAGTGTGAACAAGATAAAATTCTTGTCCTCTGGAATGTATGCTCTTGTTAGGGAGAACAGAAAGTAGACACATAACTATATTGTATATTGTCGGCTATGGTAAGTACTAGGAGGGGAGAGGGTGAATTATGATGGAGGGTTTTCTGCTTTAGATGAGTCATTAGGAAAGACCTCCCTGAAAGGGCAGTATTTGAACAGAAACCTGAAAGAAGTAAGGGAGCAAACCATGAGCTTATCTTTGTGAAGAGTACGGAAGCTGGACAGAACACAAGTGCAGAGCAACTTCAGATCTATTTCTCCAACTTATAAATTAGTGACAATGTTTATAATTAAAGTTAACCTTAAAGTTATTTAATAGTGTACAACACTGAGTTTTTCTCCTGCCATGAAAGAACTTTCAAAATTAGCTATGTGTTATAAAATTCACTCTAATATTTGGAGAAATGATTTATGTGTGTCGCATGTGTAAGAATCATTTCAAATATAGCTATACTTTGTTGACCTCTTCTCTGGGCTATGATTTCTTTGAGTTAGGCCTTTTCTCTGTTAGAATTGGGATAGTGTAATATAAGAAAATGGAATAATGTATATGGCAAACTCTAAAGAGTCTTTAATGAAAGATATATTTATAATATTGCCTTTAGATATTGCTAAAGGAAGAGAGATTCTTATATGTAGAGAACAAGCAATATGATGTATTACATTTAAAGTTCTTTTCTACATTTTGAAAGATCCTACAAATGATTGCTCTCTCTCCCATACCAGCTTGGTCATTTATTTATCTAATTACCACTCATTATGTATGTCTGAAAGGTTGTAAGCATATCATGCCAGGCCTTGGTTAACTCAAGGTCTGCTCTTAAACATTTTTCAATTCAGGATGGAAATAGAAGAGAGACAGAGATGAATCTGTAGACCACAGTGTCAATGAATGAGCATATACATAATAGAAAAGATTATAGTTAAAAGGAAATAATTGAATTTGTGGGCAGTGTCACAGAAGTTTCATGTATAAGACGAATGTTTCTACTTTATTTTTTCTGGGAAAGTTGATGGAGTGATTGAAGTGTCAGAAATAGTACAAATAAAGGAAAGAAAAGCAAGAGTCTTATCTGAGGTGTAAGTTATTGGGGTTAAAGCTAATGGGATATGCAACAGGTGCCCCCTCTAATCATATTCTCTCACACCAGCAATATAGAATGCGCTAGAGGAATGCGTTTGTGAGTCTTTGGTTTGAAAATGTAAAAGTTACTAATTAAGTACTGCATTGGAGAATATACCCCTGTGCTGGCTTGAAAATTTACCCGTTTCTTGGTTTGTTCAAGTGTGCACATGTAGAAAATGATTATATTTCTCACTGAAGTCTCAGATAACTAATGCACAGTGAATTTAATAAGATGTACAGGTTGCAGAGAGGGTAGCTAAGCATCTTTGAGAATGTGTGTCTCTGTGCATTACCAGTGTGTTAACTCAGGAATGACAGCCACAATGCAGAACACTCTGTGAGCATAGGATGATAATTTGAAGGGAATGCAGTAATGGGCGTAAATGGTAGGAAGGTTTACTTGGCAGCTTTAACTTGGAACCAGCCAAACACAATTTGTTCACCTTTATTCCTCTGGTATCCTAAAAATTTTCCATAAGTTAAATCAACGACTGATAATTGTTCAATGTCCCATAAGTTAGAAATTGTCTCTGCTGCCAAAAGTAACATATACATGAATAATGACTAATTCTAAATCTAATTATTTTACCACTTATTTAGTAGCAAGTAAAATTGAAACTGCTTTTTGAATGAGTTTGTAGAGGGAAAAAAAATTCCATGTACAGTTGCAAATAGTGCGGTTATATACATGAATTTAAATTTCTTTTGGTATTTTCTATACAACTTCTTAAACTTATTTGTACCTTCCTCTTCTATTATTTTTGTGATAGAAACTGTATAATTTTTTCTTTCAGAACTGGATAAAATCAGTTTTTAAAATAAAAATTGATGTAATATTGAGTAAAATACACTGGAAAGTTATCCTTATAAATTGGCTGATTTTAAAACTAAGTAGAATATTATACTAATATAAGAAGTTTACATTTAAAAATAAGAAAAAATAAAACTTGAATCTTTAGAACGTTATTAAATAGGACACCTAAGTTGCTTTTTTTTTTTTTTTTTTTAGAAAGTTTATTTAGAAAGTAAGTGAGAGAGAGAGAGAGAGAGATTCACTTCCCCAAGATAGGGTGGGTTGGGGGGACCAAAGCTAAGAAAACATGACCTGGCCAGTGCTTAACAAAACAATGGCCAGTTTTTAAAAATATTGAGATACAAACACCACTTGAAGACTTTTTTCACTTCTAGATATTATTCATTAAAATTTGTTTAAGCTAACAGTTTATCTAGTAAGTTTTAGCAGTAAGCCATTATTATTCCATAAAATATTAGATGAGCTTTGCTTTTCCCTTTATTCAGAAATAATCTGTTGTTTTGTGGCAAAGTGAAAGAGTAGTGGGAGACATTCTCTGCCACTGAAAGTAAAATGTAGAATTAGCACAACAGGTGAGATTTCAAAAATTGTCAATTTTTGACTCATATTGAAGTCCTTTGGAAACGTAAATCTTTGTCAGTAAACTATAACAAGCAGATCTGAGAACGCTTGTGACGTTACCATGATTGTTAAGTAGTTGGTCAAGTAGTTGGTCAAAAACAGTGTTTATATGGTATATGCTTAAATTGCATAGAAAAAAGATTCATTATGAATGAAAGTATATTAGGGCATAGAAAGTATGCGCAGCATATATTTCTTATTTCATTTGGTAATCGAGCCCATTCTGGTGTTTAAGTTAGCTAAATTGATATCTTTGCAGAAATTCATGGAAAAGTAATGTTTAATTCCTTGCTCTAGTGCTGTCAAATCACCATTTGCAACCCATAGACTTATCTGACTTTAATTGAAAAGTAGATCTTCCAAGGTTAAAGCATGGTAGGTGTAACACTTAGCTTATTAGTAAGGTCCTTAACTTGTATTCCAGGCTAGGACATCGGACCTTCTGTCACTATATGACTGTGCTTTCTTCTCCCCTTAAACTGTCATGCAAGTTCTGAGGTTGCTCAAACAAATAAGAATTTAAAGATCAGGACTGAAAAATTCCTCAAAGACGGGTAAAAATACACTTTTGAGACTATCTTAAGAAAAATTTTCTTTGATCTTTGACTTCCTAGAGATTTAGATAATACGGTTGAAACTGGAAACGCTTAGGTGTTTCAAAATGCCTTCTTCTAATGGGCACAAAGAAAAGCCCTAAAATTGCTTTCATACTAACGAGGAAGAAGAAATCAAAATGAAAGTTATTTCAGGCTCAGTAGTTTAATATATACCAAAGGCCTCTTGCTCCCTCTACAGAAGGTGCTTCAAAATTGCAGGCACCTAGATTTTTTTTTTTTTTTTTTGTAAAGCATTTCTCACGAGGTTCATGATGGTTAAAAAGTTTGGATCCATACGTATTTCCAGTATCTTGCAAATTCGTTGATTCTACAGTCAGTCAGTTTAGGTGTGTGCATTTCTACTTTAGCATTTTTCACTGACTTCAGCAAGGATTTTATTCAAATCCAGTAGCAACAACTATGAAAAAGAGTAGGTTTTTGTTTGCCTGTTTGTCTGAGTTTGTTTTATTTTGTTTATTTGCCCTCATGGATAAATAAAATGCTTAAGAAATGTTTTATATTGGGCGATGGTTTTACTCGTTTTAATTCTCTTTTATTTAGCTGGGGAATTTAAGCTGTTAAAACAGTGTACTCCTACTCCAAAGACTTAACAACAAGTTCTCTCGTTATTTGCTTCTAAGTTTTTCATTCATTTTTAGTTTTTAGTTGTTATTGAAGAGAGAAAAATTCTAACAAATTATAATTTCACAGGACAGTTAAGTTTCATTGCATTAAACTGGATATTTTTTCAACTGTAGGTCATGCACACAAGAAACAGAAAGTTTGACCCGTCCATAAAGACTTCATTAACACGTAAAATTGTAATGTCTATATTTCTATCATCTTAACTTTACCCATTTAAGTTAAATTGGAATAGATTGTTAATATTTTAATAGCTTTGGTTCAAATAAATTTATGCATTTTGTCTTACAGCTGTAACACCTTTTTATTTTATTTGACAGATTGAGAGTTGTTCTTATTGTGCCATTTAAAATCATAAGGATGAAAATTCTTTTATCCCATCAAGAGTTCTAACAGAAGACTGAAAATGTTCTTCATTTGTGTTTAGTACAAGAACAGCTCCTCTAATGTTACCCTGTAATTGAAAAATGAATATAAGTGACAAAGTATTTTTGATTTGACTATGTTACATCAGACTTGCCTGTTTCAAATATTATGCTTAAACCAGATTGGATTTTTTTCCCCTGGTAGGTGTACTGGTCCGTTAGCAAATTCTATTGCAGAGAAAGCAAGAGACCCAGTAGAGGAAGACGATGATGAATACAAGATTCCTTCATCCCATCCTATTTCCCTGAATTCTCAACCATCTCATTGTCATAACGTAAAACCTCCTGTTCGGTAAGAATATAGGTGGCTTTTTGTCACCTTACATCTGCATAAGCATTGCCATTTGTGGTGTTTGTTTTTCAACAGTTGAAAAACACGTTTAATTAAATTTATTTAATTAAAAATCCTTGATTTCCTGCTCAAAGCCTCCTCAGCCTGAATACCATTTTCTGCATTATCTTCAGAGAAAACTGAAAGATGCAAATTTTCCATTAATCAGAAAGTCATTTGTCTAAATGAGTTGTCTAGTAAGTGTAATAGAACATTTCATTGCCACCCCCCAAAATAATACTCTAAAATAATTTGGCTGTATATTACCTATAGTGATGGTTAATTTTTGCGTTTTCAATATGCTGTTTTAATGTGTGTTATCAGTTCTAAGCACATATCTCATGAAGAAAAATAAGTACTTAGAAACTAAAGTATGATGCCAGTCTTCTGTAGAATTGTCCTTCATAATGTAAAGATTAATGTCATTTATTCATTTCCCTTCTTGATGTTCCTCCTACTTCTATTCAGATCCTGGAAAAATAAAAATACCTAAAGTTATTTCCCTTAACTTTTATTTTTTAATTTGTTTTTGCTTTGTCAAGTATTATTTTACTTTTCCTTGGATAGAATAGAAATGTTAGGAATAGAGTTTTTATTTTTTTCCTTTCTGTTGTTTGTTTATTCTCACTATAATAAGAGATACCCTTCCTTGGTCTTTGAATTGGAAGCCCCATCGAGGTATATAAGAGTTATTAATAGTGGCTATTTATATTGATATATTAGTTTGTCTTTAAATAAAAGCATGATTCAGCATTTATATAATGGAATTAGTAAGCTGTAATTAATATTTCTCTTTATTTTTTTATTTGGCTGACATATTCAGTAGTACTTAGTAATCAAATCTTAACTTCAAAACTTCCTTTCCGAGCTCAAATTTACTTTGTATAACATTCACAGAGCAGTGCTTGGCACATAGAATAGGCCTCACCTACTGCTGGTGGCCCTGCATTCCAGCATCTCAGTTGACTGATGGAGAGATAGGAGAGCCAGGGAACACTTCAGTTATCTGTGCCGTCTTGGTGTGCCATTTCCTTTTGAGGTCAAGCCAATCAACCAAAAGCGTTTTATGTTGAATGCTTTTTTTTCTTCTTTTCAGATGAAAAACTAAAAACTGTTTTAATGTCTTTCTTTAAGTATCTTACTGAGGTAGAAGATGATTTACATGGGAAGAGAAACAGATCTTCATTTTAACTGGAAGTCTGACTTCTGGATAAAATTCATATTTTAAGATTCATATGTATATGAATGATACTCGTTAGAAGTATTAATATTCTATAAAATTATTACTCAGAATTATTAGCAGTCCAGGACTTCATTTCCTTTTTAAAGGAAGAACCAAAGCACTTCTTGCTAATTGCTGATGTTTAAGACATTTTTGTTAAGATAGTATCATTGAGAAGACAAAGAAATAACTAGAAGATAATTTGATATATCAGAAGATTTAAGTGGCTACTGATCTTATTATAGAATAAAAGTTATTTCTTCTTATTAAATATAAACTCAGGGGTATAATTTTGATATGTTAAGTTTTAATTGTTACATCATATTGGATGAGATTTTTGGTGGCTGGGCTCCCAAATCTTGAAAATAAATTTGAATTATAACCATTGTTACCATCTTTCTGCTGTTATGGAGAAGTAATACATGTTGATAATCCCTAAACTTAATTGGAGAGAATTCTTCATCTAATTTGTTCTGGAATGCTGATGGATGAAGTATCTTCTTTTGTCCTCTCCACAGCTCTCTCGAAGATTAACACTTCCTTTCCCTGTGTGCTTTCCCCCTTTAGAACATCAGGAGGAGTTAATTGTCACTGTATGGAAAAAGTGATACAGTAAATGAATAATGCAATTCAGTTTCAGTAAAAATCCATCATTATTATGAAGATTCAATACATGATGACTGTTTTTAAATGAGCCATCTCTGGCTCTTTAAACAGACTTGACCACCAGAGAGAACAGAAATGAATTTCAGATGCAGCTCTTTTGCAATATCTATTCAAATATCCTCCATTATGTATGTAATTTTACATTGCTGTAAGAATATAGGGTAAATTCGAGAAGAGTAAAATGTAAACTCTGATTTCTGTAGCTCTTTGTTAGTTGATTGCTACACAGTTATATGCTGAAGGCAAAATATGTTCCGTCCACTCTTCCTGCTGCAGTCTTCCCATGCCTCAATTGTATTCATTGTATGATCTCAAAGTATTAATGCCAACAACTCAAACATACATTTTTAGTGAATAGTGCTAAATAGTACTATGGTTGTTTATAAACAACCACATTAAAATACTGTACTTGTCATGTTCCAAGGCCTTTGCTAAAGTCATTTTCTATAGTGTCGTACGGCCAAAGTTTTGTTCTTGGCTGTGGTGAGATAGTGCCACAGGCTCCAGGTCTTTGAATATCCCTGTCAGAATTTTAATGGAATTACTGAACATTTAATTTTTTTCTTTTATGGCCTCTAGTTTATTTTGATCACAAGGAAACCTTAAGTTAAACAGAAGTAAAAATATGATGCCAAATACTGTCAACAAATAATGAAGTCATTTGGACCGTGACATATTTTTTTGCTCTGGCAATTCTTTTTTTTTTTTTGAAGCTTTGACAAGGTGTTTTTGAATTCTTCTAAAATATGTTATTTTCACATTTATGTTTTTGTAAAAGGCCAATTTTTGTGGCCCTTGTAATTCTTGATTTTAGTTTTTTAAAAAATGACTATTCGTGTTCCATGAGCTAATTTACTTCTGTTTTTTAAAATAAATGGTAAGAATATATAGATATTATTGATGGCATTTTTTCCAGAAAAGGAAATGAAATATATTTTCTGACTTTATTAATGACCAGGTATGGATGCTAGTTTCTCTACCTCCCAAATGATTTTACAATGGAAAGTAATTATCCTTATTTGATTTTGCTCTTTGGTCTCTGCTTTAGGTCCTGTGATAATGGCCACTGTATATTGAATGGAATACATGGTACATCTTCAGAGATGAAGAAAGCCAACATCTCTGAGTTAGGCATATATTTGAAGGGTATGTATAAAATGTTTTTTCCTTCATGATCTCCGTCTGTGGTCAGAATTTAAAGGCAAAATTCTTTGCTGTTGTTGTACTGAAGATACATTAAGGTTTTGTGTTATCCTCTAGGAGATGTTTTTGATTCAGCCTCTGATGCAGTGCCATTGCCACCTGCCAGGCCTCCAACTCGGGACAATCCAAAGCATGGTTCTTCACTCAACAGGACGCCCTCTGATTATGATCTTCTCATCCCTCCATTAGGTTGAAACCTTTAAAAAATTTTACAAATCATCCTGCCTTATATTGGAATTTTCAGACTTCAGAGTTCAGTCTAACACAGATTTGCTCGATTGGGAATCTGCCTGAAATTAGAGTGGGTTCTCCAGGTGATGGTGGCTCCCGTTCATGTGACTGTTACCCCATGTGGATGATTAAAAGTAATGGCCTAAGTAGTTGACCATCAGTCAGGGTTTCATCAAGTTCTCTCCTCCTCACGAAATATAGTTGCAAAACACATGAGAGCATTGTATTCTAGTAGTTTTGGGTGATAGTTTGAAATGTTAGTTGAGATTTTTCCTTAAGTATAATAATCCTTAATAAATGTGAGCTTACTTTTCTTTCAGCATGAAATGACCCAGCTCTAATTATACTAACTAAATTATGGAAAATTATCAATACTTATATGTAGAGAACTGAGAATAAATTCTGTTTTATTTTAATCATTACAAGTAAAACACATTCAAAAACTTAATTTATTTGTGTCAAATTATAATACAAAGAGATGTTCTAGTGTGTGTGTGTGCACACATGTAAAGATACATGTAGGTGTCTGTATGTTGTAGTTGGCTGGTGCCAGAGGCACTATTTAATTTCACTAATTCTAGTTAGGGAACTTCTCGCTCTATTTTTAGAGGAAGATAATTAGAATGCCCACATACCTGCAGGCTTTACAATAACAAGTCATCCTAACATAAAATTATGTACGATAAGGGCCATTTTCTGAATTGGCTGTGAAGCCACCAGAAATATGAAGTAAACCTTTTCATTTTCTCACAAAAACCATTGACTAGTGTTTTGACTTACACAGTTGCTATGGCTTTTGCTCCTATTCTCTCTGTAGTTCTGGGCTTTGTTCTCATCTACATCAGTTACAAAAGCAAACCTCCTAACTTTTTTACCTATAGTCTTCTACTCCCTTCCACTTCTCCCTGTACAGTGATTCTTAACATATATTTACCAAATCTTCATCGCCTAAATCAGCATCGTCCAGTAAAACTTTCTTTGGTGATGTAAGCATATGCTTAATTGAGACTATGGAACTGAATTTTTATTATTTTAAACTTAAATAGCTGTATGTGAACCGATAACTACTTTATTGACAATTAAGGTAGATGTTACAACCTGTCTTAATTTAACTTGGCATTCATCTTAGTCTTCTTGTGCATGTTATTATTTATTCATATTACTTACTCTACTTTAAAGACCCTGCCCTTGCATTTGATCAGTAAATTTTTGAGCCCTCTGATATCTCATGACTTTCTTTTTCAACAATTCACTGAATGCCAGTTGTCTATATTTCTCTTTCTTCTTCCAGTGCACATAACTATCTTAGGGACTAATCAAACACTTTTACCGGTGAATCATATCTATTTGTGAGTTTTTGTTTGATATTTTGCTCCTCTCCTGGAATCTAAGCTCCTTAAATCAGGGTATTGTGATTTTTATCTTCATATCATGCATATGCCTGGTATGGTGTTTGATATTTAACGTCTAAAAAGGGATTTCAGGAAATGTATGTAGCATATAGCTGAAGGTTGAAATGATAGCAAAGCTGTCTCCTGTATCCTTGAATATTTTTGAAAAGGAAAATATGATTAGAGAAATTATTCTGCATATTTTTTGCAAATCAAGCTCAGTGAATGGTAAGCCAATTTTTTTTAAAATATGCCATTATGTTTAAGTTGTTCAACTTAAAGACATACGCATTTTTATCATTAGAATATGTATTTATGTATGCCCATTCTCATTTACAAAGCATTTGAGATTGCTTACAAAAGTACATATACTACATATTATCTTTTAAAGATAGAGGTAAGGGGAGATATGAGTAAAATAATAAGGGGAAAAATAAGTAGACACAAAAGCATGCTGCAGGATTTACTAAAGCTAGGAGATATGCAAATATAAATAACTAGCTTTAGAAGTATCAGATAAGTAGAAAAATATATTCCTCTGCTTTAGATGCATTTTTTCTATATTTTGACAATAAATACACAGAACATTAGTTTAAATGAACTAAAAGCCACTAAAATGAACCATGTGGGATAATCTAACCATTTTTTGACATTAAATTGTATGAGCATGGTGTGATTTTCTAATTAGAGACTGAACTCTTTGTTGCACAGAGAATTCTGTTTTGATGGTATGACTGATAATAAGTTTTAGTTCAAACTTCTATGTCTTAATATTACAAAGATTACAAGTGAACCAACAAGCTGTTTCATGGCCTGCAGTGCTGCTTTTTAAAATTAAAAGGTCTGGGATATAGAGAAAGTTTGCAAGGGTGTGTTTATGTGTATGTGTGAATAGATGTTTTTCTCCAAATACTCCCACAAAATAATCAGATCCCTTTATCAAAGTTAGTGAACTGCTGGATAAATCCTGCAAGGAAAGCTCCTCACAAACAGCAACAGAAAAATCAGTCATTACTTTTGCTTACTACTGTGCTTTGACTTATGACATTCTGCTGTTGGTATTGCCCTTTCTTTAAATGCAGGTGAAGATGCTTTTGATGCCCTCCCCCCATCCCTCCCACCTCCTCCACCTCCTGCAAGGCACAGTCTCATCGAACATTCCAAACCAGCTGGCTCTGGTAGCCGACCATCCTCAGGACAGGACCTTTTTCTTCTTCCTTCAGGTAGGAGGGAAAAGCCAAAGGAAACTATTCACTTAAAGCAAAGCTATTGCTAAGGCCATACTATCGGATAAATGCTAGTGGTTCCTTAGCCTCTATCTCTGTAGCAGAAAAACCCCTGGATGGTGACAGTAGCTATTGGGTGGGTTTGTTTGTCAGTTGGTTGGTTTAATGCCAGAAGAATCACAAAGGTGGCAAGAGCGATAAGGAATCCTCAAATTTAGAAATAGCACTATAAAGGTCATCCAGTCTAGAAACATCCTTATGCTACAAAAGACATCCCTGAGATCCAGAATGGCTAAGTGATTGCGCTAATAGTAATGGGGACAAAGGGACTGTGTCTTCTGATTCCCAGTGGAATCTCCTTCTTAATAACAGGTTTTGACTTTTTTTTTTCCTTTTTTTTCCTGAATTGGAGTCTCACTCCATTACCCAGGCTGGAGTGCAATGGCATGCTCACGGCCACATCCCGTGTTGACCTGCTGGGCACTGACGATCCTTCTGCCTTAGCTTTCCAAGTAGCTGGAACTATAGGCACACACTACTGCCCCTGGCTAATTTTTGATTTTTTGTAGAGACAAGGTCTTGCCAAGTTGTTCAGGCTGGTCTCGAGCCCATGGGCTCAGGTAACCCACTCACCTCAGTTTCCCAAAGTGCTGGGATTACAGGCTGAGTCATTGAGCCCAGCCCAGATTTTGACGTTTTTACTAAATGTAGTTTGTGTCATAATCTTGTTCAAAACATAAGATTTTGATAAATTGCATTGTTATAACACGAATAGGCAAGTTTTTCTGAAATAAATTTTTCTGAGCCACTGCACCCAGCCACAAATTATTTTTCTTCAAGGGGAACTAATATAAACTAACTTTTTACATTAATATGTTTTTAAATTTTGAAAGAGAGAAGTAGAAATAAAAATGAAGAAACTTAATAAACAATCTGCTTCATTAATTAGGATTATCAGGAAAAAGAAAATAAATTTAGTGATGTTGAATATGCTGATATTGACAGTTCCAAGTTATGGACATCTCGAATATACAGCTTCACTTTCTAAAAGTGGTTTATTTTTCAGGAATCATTTTCAGTTTAATTTTTCACTGGTAAATATTGGTTGAGCCATCTGCTGTTTCACCCTTTGATAGATGCCTCCTTTGATAGATGTGGAGCTTACAAATTCACTGGGTCACTCCCAGTATAAGCATGAGTGTCATAAACCTCTGGTCCAAGCAGAAAGTGGGGGTAACTGCTGAGGCTTTCATTTATTCGTTCATAAGCAGTCATATGTGTTACTATTTTCATTTATTCAAATCTTTGTCTTATACATGGAATTTAATTGACATGATTTTTAAAACATTGAATCATGCTACATCTTAGTCACTAAAATTTCCCAATGCCAAGTTCTGGATAATTTCTGGCCAGATTTCTGCAATGTGCCTGTCACTTTATATGTGACTTAAGCCCCAGTCAATGACTCTTTGATTTTGTGGCTTTTAAAAAAAATGAAGTCAAGCTACCCAAGAGCTGGAAGAGAACATTTTATACAAATACACGTTTTTGCCAAAAGAATGTTTTAGTTCTTTATCATAATCATATTGTTCATTGCCTTAATTTATGTAAACTCTTCATAAAGAAATCTCTCAAGATTAATTGCAAAAAAATTGACTACTTCACAATGAAACTGGCCCCTTTTATTAGCTAAAATGAGAGTTGTATAAACTTTTATTTTATTTATAGATTTGCTTGTTTTGTTACTAGGTAGCTCAACAACAATTATCCTGAACCTAGAGCATGAGGCTATCATGGGGTCAAGGTAGTGTCATTTGAAGTACTTGACTATCAGCACCCTTTTATACATGGAAATATTTAAATTCGATTCACAATAATGTCGACATCCCTTGATTATAAGTAATTCTAAGAAAAATCTGGCAACTTTTTTTCCCAGTCTTTCATATTATTAATATGACAAATTTGTAGTGTGGAGCCTTATCCTTTATGACTTCAATTGTGACAATTATTTTGATTTCATTTAAAGCTATATATAGCTTTTCTCCTTTTTAAAAGAAATTTTTTAATTCTGCCATATAATAATATCATAGAGTATAAAAGTTTCTTTGTGCTTATAAATAAGCATTTGAGTATCTGTTTGCAAAGTTTTTATTACATTAACTAAAGAAATACAGAAGATTTTTTAAAGTAGTTCTTTACCCTTATACTTGATCTTTATGAAAGAATATCCATCCATTTTGCATTGCCTTAAAGAAATACTTGAGGCTGGGTAGTTTATAAAGAAAAAAGATTTATTTGGCTCACAATTCTGCATGGTGCTGGTAACTGCTAAACTTCTAGGGAGGCATCAGGAAGCTTACAATCATGGTGAAAGGTAAGAGAAGCTGGCATGACACATGGTGAGAGAGAAAGTGGGAGCAAGAGAGGAGATAGTATTGCCAGGCTCTTTTTAGTATGTCAGGACCAGTGTTCAATCAGTTCTTACATAAGCTAATAGAGCAAGAACTCACCCATTACCAAAACAGCATGAAGGCATGAATGAGGGATCCACCCCCTTGACGCAAACACCTCCCACTAGGCCCTACCATCGACATTGGGGATCACATGTCAGCATGAGGTTTGGAAGGAACAGCTAACACTGTAGTTTTAGAGTCATAAAAAATAAACAAAGGTGATTGCTAAGTTTCAACACGCTATGAACATTTAACTTCTAATATTTTCACTGTCTAATCTGTAAAGTTTTAGTCCAGTGTAATGATAAATTTTTTTCTAAGCATTAATGAGACTTGGTTTTCTTGAGGAAATAATTATTCCTAATTAAAGACAAATGATAAATGTCTTAGAAAAAGAGGTTGAGTTTTCTCATGATGTTACATTAAATACCTAATCAAACCAACTTCTTTATTCCAGCATTCAATACCCTGCACAACTGAGTCAGGTGCAGCTTTTCAGCCTTGTGGCCCATGGCCTTTGTTACAGTGATTGTCAGACTTCAGGGTCCTGAGTTTCTGCAGAGGAGCCTGTAAGATTAAGAAGAGAAAGCCAGGCATGGGCACAGCTCTGGTTCTTCCTTTACCTGTTTTTATTTTAGGTTTTCACGCAAGATTTCTTTTGGCAAAATAGTAATGACTCCTGCTGTACGCGAGCCATCTGTTTTGAACAGGCCAATCATATCTTAACAAAACCTGGAGTCTTCAACAAAAGCTTTATGCATTCTGCCTCCAAACCTAAGGCTACTGCTAGTGGATGAGTGCTTTTATTCCTTATTTTTTTAAAAAGCGCTTCCTTTGTGTTGGTGGGTTGAAGGAAACACCCCTCCCTCTGCTTCATGCCAGAACCAGTGCTCAAGGAACAAAGCAAAGACTGTATTTATGTCCTGCTCATAGCCATAACTTGGCAGTTTTGTACAGTGCACAAAATACACAGCGCTTTTGGCAGCCCTTATACCACCTTTCACTCTTTCTCTAACCTGGAATCTCTTTTGAAGTCCTTCTCCAATCTTAAAGTCACAATTCAGTTCCAAAAACTAGCACAATTGACTTCATTAAAGATAATGAAAGTGTTTTTCTTGGATCCAGAAATGCAACTGCATAAGTAAACTATGAAGAAAATCTGGATTATAGCAACAGATATTGACGGTTTTAGGGGGTTTTGCTGACTACAGCCACTACCATGATGTGGCTGTCAAGGGAGCTCATGCTGTTTGGAGCTTGCACTGATGGAATTTAAATCAGAGAATGAGTGAAGTCTTCCTCAGTGCTCAGCATTCATGGAGACCATTGTTTTCAGGTGTTGAAGGATTAATGGGCTGGAAGCAGTTTTCAAAGCTTGGTCTCCAGAGCATCCATACCAGAATATTCTAGGGATTTATATTAAAATGAAAATTGTCAGCTGGGCTTGGTGGCTCAACCTGTAATCCCAGAACTTTGAGAGGCCAAGGCAAGTGGATTTCCTGAGCCTGCGGGTTCAAGACCAGCCCGGGCAACTTGGTGAGACCTTGTCTCTACAATAAAAGTCAAAAATTAGTCGGGCATGGTAGCCCGCACCTGTAGTTCCGGCTACTTGGAAAGCTGAGGTGGAAGGATCACCGGAGCCCAGCCTGTCGACACTGGGGTGGCTGTGAGTGTGCCACTGCACTCCAGCCTGGGTGACAGAGTGAGACTCCAACTCAAAAAAAAAAAAAAAATGAAAATTGTCAATTTACTAAATCAGAACCTGGGAGTAGGACCTAGTAATCTGTTTTCACAAGCCTTTCTGGTGATTCTGATATGTACTCAAGTTTGAGGAACACGGGGCTAGGGTTTTGTCAACAAAGTGCAACCAGGATTGTGAAGGAAATTCATCCCATCCCAAGTAAACTGCAGTGGATGAAAAGAACCAAGAATATTCAGCCCAAAGAAGAGAAAACCTTAGGTATATATTAGTCTCCAATTGCATAATTTGTGAAAAAAGGATTTTATTCCTTCCATGTCACCTCAGAAGGCAGAAATAAGAGCAATGAGAAGAAGTTTTAAGAATGAAAATGTCATTCATCCTCCAGAGAAGTTTCCTAAATCATGGGGAATTTTTCTACCTCAGGGGTAGTGTGTTTTCTGACACTGGAGGATTTAAATCAGTGACTATATCACTACCTATTGGAGATTTTATGAATGTGGGTTAAATAAAGACTGGAGGCCCAAAGCGGAAAGAACTTTGTTTTACCTACTTAACTCTGTAGACCATTTCCATCAATTAAATTCTACATTGACATATTTTTTTATAATATGGGTGATAACTAATAAATCTTTCAGGTGGTCTGTGGACACCCAGAGAAGGAGTATGCCATTGTTTTACCTTTTATTTTATTTGCCTCTTTTTCTACACTTAAGTAAACATTTGGAAGTATTTCAGAAAGTGGAAAAAAAAACCCCAAAACTCCATATTTCCTTCTCCCAGAGATAACCATTGTTAAGTGTCCTTTCAATTTTTGTCTGAGTGTGTAAGTTCATATTTATGTAAAATTTACTTCTTATACTATATGTGACTTATAAGCTTTTTTCCATGTAACATGTCATGAGCATTAGTTATGCTGCTAAATATTCTTGCACAACATAATTTTGGTTGATGTATATTTTCTCACTACTTTTTTAGTTAGCAAACCCTTTCTTCATAGCCTGTCCTTAGTTTTTTGTAATCTCTACAAGTATTTAAATGTTCCATTTTGCATTGCTATAAATCACAGTAATATTTTGCTTTTTAGAGCAGATTAATCCCAGTATGTTTGTTCATTTATTTCTCAAACATTTATTATTGTATAAATGATACATTGGCTATGGTAATTTTAATTTGTATGTTTTAAACCTAAATGTAGATATAAAATTTTACTTTAGTTTTAAAAGAATTTATCTCAGAAAAGCTGTATTGCTTTCAAAATTTCCTATCAGGGGACAGCTGATAATTATTACAGTCTGTGTAGTAATTATGATGTATATAATGTCTTTTCCTTGGAAGCATGAATGCTTCCAACTTTATCACTTGTCCAGTTTGCCCTTCCTGACCCATGGCAAACTTAGCATGAAGCAAGATAGAACATGATAATGACTCAGAACAGAGCTATAAGTAGGTATTTTTTTGTTATTTTGGGTCATATTTTTAGTGTATCTAGTGTTTTTTGATTTAAGTAAAATAATGGAACAATACGGGAGAATGGTATATTCTGTAGTTTATGGCTCTATAGTGTATCCAGAATTTATTTTTTAGCTTAAATAAATAGATAATTAGATGGCACAAGTATATCTGATAAAACTATAAATTACTCCTAAAGTATACATATTGTAAGAGACTTTTTTTTTCCTTCTGATTTAATGTTATATCAGGGCCATTTAGAGTGTACAAGAGCCTGAAGTAAATTTTATTAAATATTAAAATCAAAATCTTTCGGAAATTTCAAAATGGTTTCTTCAGTTTATCTAACAAACCAAAAGATCAACATTTGTCCCAGGGGATTTGATTTATCTTCTCACTCCTTCCTAAAAATGTCTTAAAAAAATTAATGAGGCCAGATTGTCGACTCCTCAGATATTGAAAGCTCAAAATCAAAGAGTTGTTTTAATCTTGAAATTAATGAAAGTAAGTTAAGTAGCCTTGCCTAAGTCAAAAAGTCCCCAACAAAGCTGGTGATAATTATTGTACTTCAAAAAGGGGAAATAAATAAATAATGACTTCAAATCCTGACTTACATTATCTAGTCAAAAAATTAGCAGAAAAAAAGGCAATTTCCTAAGTATGTATTTCCTTCTTAAATAATCAAATTCTTGTATATTCTTAATGTCAAATTCAAATTGAAGTTAAAGCAGTGAAATAAAATCAATTAAATGCAATGTTTGCCTTATGTTAGCAGTTCAAGTTTCACTAATTTTGAATTTATGAACAATCTGAATCTGTGTGAATTTAGTTTTGGTAGTTAAAAGTAAACATCTATAAAGTACAGTCTATTTGCCAGGCCGTATGCTAGGTGCTATATTTGAGTGAGAAGATAGAATTCAAACTCGATGAATAAGACAGGATCCCTATCCTCAGAACTGGTGTTACCTACAGAGATCCTGACAACCTCAAAGAAAATATGTAAGAGGAAGATGGAAGAGCCTGAGATGGAAGTGATAACTAGATAAATTATTAGTGAACCAAAGATTCAGAAGGAATGTTCAGCAACTCAAAAAGGAAATCAGTTCTAAGAATTTAATCCCATGTACTACTAATTTTAAACCAGTTGGGTTTATGGGCTTAATAATTTACTTTAGCAACACTGACAAAGTCTCCTTTTCTGTCTTTAGTTCCAGCTAGTAAACGTCATTAGAAGTCACAAGATAATTTTAAATTTTTCTACAGTTCATATTTTTTACTATTTCAGATGCTTTCTGATTATCAAGAAAGGGGTAAAGTCACATTTTGCTGTATATTCAAGTCTTAATGTTAATAATGGCATAATTTTTAATGACTGAATTTGCTATTTAGTGAGCCAACTAACAATAATGACTTTTTTAGCATAGGGTGCTTAATATAGTACTGTTAATATAAGCACCTTGTATGTAACAGAAGATTTTACATACACAAATTCATTTAATCCTCACAGATCCCAAATTTCATGTCTGTTTTACAGATTTTGACTGCCTAATGCTTAGAGAGATTAAGTGATTTGATAATACTCTTACAGGCTGAATCCGAACCTGGTCTTTTTTTTTCCTTTACTTTAGAACAGTTTTTATTCATTGATGGCACAGACTGGACAGGAAATAAAATTTAGAAGATGTCTTTACTGTCTACAATCTTAAAAATAAATGAGAGATCTGAAAAATATGAGCATAAAATCAGTAGTCTTTGTTATCTAGAAATGTGAAAAGCCTATTTGAGAAAGTGATGAACAGATTAGAAAATACGCTGGCAGTGGAAAATGGTTAATATCAGTCAAGAATTTAATTTTTCAATTTATTTTTGAAAGCTATAATCTTCATAAAAAAAACTCCTAGGATTGTTTTCTTCAGTCAGTCAATAGAGATCATCTTTTCAATTTGAAAATTATCTTTATTTTTAAGATCCTTTTTTTGATCCAGCAAGTGGCCAGGTTCCTCTGCCTCCTGCTAGGAGATTACCAGGTGAAAATGTCAAATCCAGCAGAACATCGCAGGACTATGATCAGCTTCCTTCATCTTCAGGTGAGTTGACTGATAATGGTAATAATAATACCTTATGGCTGTAGAGTGCTTCTTGCTTCTCAGAGGACCTTCTTATTAATTATGTAACTTAATGAATGTTGTCAGCCTAAGACAGTTTTTTTTTTAATCACCTCTGCATTTTGCTTATAAAACTTTTATTATGAGAGGAATGCCTACAAACTGCCTCGTGGAAAAGAAAAAAGTAAGACTTAATATTATCTTTGATCAGTCAGTGAAGCTATATTCTTTGATTCAAAATTTATTCATTCACTAACTTTCATTTTGTCTTATCAGATTTGGGAAATGGGGAAAATCTCTTTGTACATTGAAATGCTGTTTTTTCTTATGTCTCCATTAAGGCAGAAATCTCTATTGAATGAATACTAACAGCGAACTGTGAATTTCACAGCCTATTTGAGGCTACCTTGCAGTGCTCCACTGCCAGCCACCAAGTGGAAGGATGTGCCATTTTAGTAAATGCAAATCACACTCACAATCATTGACAAAATGCTGCTGCTTTGCTTCTTCCAGAGGCCTCCCTGACCACCATGTCTAAATATCTCCTCCCTCTCTTCTGCAGTCACTTTCTGTCCCCTTTTACTTTATTTTTCTTCATACCACCTGCCACTACCTAAAATTTTATTATTCATGTGTTTGCCTGATGGTTGTTTATTTGTCTGTCTCCTCAGCTGGAATCTTAACACTTTGAAGACAAGAGTGTTGTTTGATTCACTGTCTAAGTCAGTTCAGGCTGCTAGAACAGAATATGGCAGACTGAGTGGCCTCAACAGTAAACATTTATTTCTCACAGTTCTGGAGGCTGGGAAGTTCACGATCAAGGTGCTAGCATTCAGTATCTGGTGAGGATTCTCTTCCTGGTTTATAGATCACTTCCTTCACGCTGTGCTGTCACAAGGACAAGGGAGTGCTTTGGGCCCTCTTTCATAAAGACACTAATCCCTTTGATGAAGGCTCCCTCAGACTAATCACCTCAAAGTCCTCACCTCCAAATACCATCACAATGAGGATTAGGTTTTAACAAATGAATTTGGATGGAGGATACTAGGTGGGGGAGAACATTCAGTCCAAAGCACTGCTGTATCCCCAAGTGTTCAGAAGAGTGCCCAGGACATGTTTCTTAAATGGATATTAGTTGAGGGAGGGAGGGAGGGAGGGTAGGAGGAAGGGATGAATGAGTGAATAGATGGATAAAAGGGAAGGGTAGCTGAATGCACATATTGTATGAGTGATATTTTTGTCTCATATTTGTCTCATATTTGTAAACATCAGATGTTTTCCTATATGAAATTTTATCTTGTTCCTTGTTTTTAAGCTCAAATTTCAGTTTGCAGAAGATTTGTTAATAGCCATACATTCTGTAACTTTTGAATCAAGGTAACTAATGAGCTGCTTTAGAATTATCAACATGATACTCAGTGTCATCCATGGGAGATGCAGAAATTCCTCTATAGTTTTATAACTTTTAACACTTGCCTGTAACTCAAGAAAGCACAGAAAGTCTTGTTAATCTTTTCAAAGTTTGGTCTATTCTCTTACCAGTGTACTTTAATCATTTCAGATGTATCCACGGATAGCTTGTAGTTCCAGTCAAAAAAAATTGATGACAAAACAGGATAAGCAAGAAAGACAATATCTGACAGCTTCTAAATATATAACATGAGAAAAAATTTTAAGGGAATAGTATGAAAATGTAACTGAGAAAAGTAGCATAACTGATTTAAAATAATATATTCAGTATCACCAATGCTGGATTAAAAGAAACATATATTCAAGTTATGGGAAGAGTTATGACCAAAACACACTGTTTTCATGGCTTCTTTACAGTGTGTTATGTAATATGTGGGCATCGTAGAGCCCAGAGGAGCATCATTCGCGTATATGATTTAAAGTGGTATGAATTCCGATTACCATTACACTAGAAATGTCAGGAAGAACTTTTTAGTCACAAACGTTGTTGAAATACCACCAAATAGCCATTTGCTGAACTGGCTTTTACCTAAGTGATAAAATAGTCCTGATTATGACTCTGAGGACCTCAGCTAGCGGTAACATCAGATATTTCAATCTGTTCCCTAAATGCTCTTTACACAGTCAAACTACAGAAAATAAGATACTTTTTCCAACAGAGCCTTACTCACATGCAGCTCCCAGGTCTACCAAGCTGACCACTAGTTTATTTCCCACCACAGAGAGACCAGACTTGCCTTCTGGATTCCGTCTTTCCATTCAGCACTAGAGACTGGATGCTTGTGAACATTCTGGATTCTAATGCCCTTGTTTTGCAGTAATTAATCTGGTTTTATTAAGGCCTCTTAAAGATGACTAAATGAGGATTCTGGTATGATTACTGCACTTTATAAATTCAGTTTCTTTTTTTATGGCTATCTAAATAATTGATAGTGACTTCTCTGTGGATAAGCTTTCTGTGTTTTTTTTAAGAATTCAAAAATGTAACTTCATTGATTTTTAAATGTTTTTCTTGTCCTCTTAATTAAAAAGGATGTGTCTGTATGCATGTGTTTCTGTCGTGTACAAAGAGCATTCCAAATGTTCTGTTCCTCCCAAGGAAAACATTTTGTAATTTCTTAAAGTTTTCAAATGCGACAACTTCCTATATAGTCATAGGAACATGTCATAGTCAAGAGAATTTTACCAGCCTGTGTTAAATTCATCTAGACTTGTGTATAGGGCAAACATTTTTGCTCATAATCTGCTTATTTATTTACATGGGGATATTATTCATATGGGGCTCACATTTCTACTAGCTGTGTGTGAGTATTTACAGATATTCCAGTTTGCTTTTCTTTTGTTATAAGAAATACCGTACTGAGATTGGAATACTGTTTTTTAAAATCTCTCTAATGCTTGTGCTGATGAATTGTGGCATTAGCACTTTATAGTTTTTATGTTCTTAGTATTTAGAAGACAATTTAAGGTAACACTTGAAAACAAGGCTAGAATTTTAGAACTACTTAAATGTGTTTGAAACCAGTAAAAGACCTTATTGCCAAATAAGCTGATCTCATTAAAGGAGATCTCATTATAAAAGGAATGAATTTCAATGCTACTTTTTCTTTATGAGCTTAAAGGAAAATGGGATAGAATGTTGAATATGTTTTATATCAGGATCGAATATTCTACAACTATCTCCTTTAAGATCTCCCCTGGAAATCATGGCTTCATCTCACACAGGAGTTGGAATTTTAAAATAAATTTTGTGAGGTTAAGATTTTGTTCTGGCCGGGCTCGGTGGCTCAGCCTGTAATCCCAGCGCTTTGGGAGGCCAAAGTGAGTGGATTGTCTGAGCCCACGGGTCCGAGACCTGCCCGGGCAACTTGGCTAGACCTCATCTCTACAATAAATCAAAAATTAGCTGGGTGTGGTAGCACGCGCCTGTAATTCCGGCTACTCGGAAGACTGAGGCGCAAGGATCGCCGGAGCCCAGCAGGTCGAGGCTCCAGTCTGGGCGACAGAGTGAGACTCCCACTCAAAAAAAAAAAAAAAAAAAAAAAAGATTTTGTTCTGTTTCAACAAAGGGAATCACAGTGTTGTTGGGTTTTTTCACCATTCAACTACCTGAAATGCTGCCGCTTGCATACAGCTTTAGTTTTATATTTTACTTTTAATTATTTTTTTTTTAATCAACAGACCTGTTTCTGTGTGTCATGAGCTGGTTTTCTTTCTCAGGCTTCATCATTCACTTTAAATTTTATTTTATTTGAGTCAGGGACTCACTCTGTCACCCAGGGTGGAGTGCAGTGGCACAGTCGCGGCTCACCTCAGCCTCAACTTTCTGGGCTCAGTCAGTCCTCCCACCTCAGCTTCCTGAGTAGCTAGGAATACAGGTGCCCACCACCATGCCTGGCTGATTTTTAAATTTTTTTTATTTTTTACAAAGACGAGGTCTCACCTTGTTGCCCAGGCTGGTATCAAATTCCTGGGCTCAAGCGATCCTCCCACTGCAGCCTCCCAAACTGCTGGGATTAGATACTTGAGCCACTGCGTCCAACCAACCTAGTGTTAAAGCCAGAGATCCTAGAATCGGTTTCATTGCCAAGTTAATACTAATATAGTAATTTTATAACCATTTTCTGGATGTATTCAAAATAGCGTATGTGAAGATTTTTTATTTATTTGAGATTCAGTTTACCATGTCCTTTGGTAAGTAGACAGTCTTTCTATAGTGGCAGTAGTTCAAACTTATGGAATAAGTGAGTTCCAGAATTAATTGGTCCAATTTAGAATAACAAATATTATAAATAGTAGACTAACCAAATTATTATTATAATGTGTTTGAAATTTCTTTTATTCCTTGATCAGTTAAATTTATATTATGTTTTTCTTCTAGTTCTCTGTTGTTATAGTTGAGAAAGTCAGTAGTCTAAGAGTTTTGATGTCTGTCCCAAGCATTATCACTGGCTTACTATATAAATTTAGAGATTATGTGTTATATAATATGTACAATATTATTTTATCCAATTAAGTTTTTTAAAATTTGTTAAGCATTTACTATAGGTCAGATGCTGTGCTAAGTATTTTAGATATAGGCTATATATAGGTCATTTAATATATATTATTTATAATTATAATTATGTAGTTATGCACTAATATATAAATATTTGTTTTTATTTTATGTATTTATAATCATATATTTAATATTTTAATAAAAATATATGGTTGTATAGTATAGTATATTTAATAACAAATCTGTATTTTTACTATGTAATATAGATATAATTTTAGTCTTCATAACCACTCTGAAATAAATATTGTTAATGTCAATTTATAGAAGAATGTAAAACACAGGAAAGTTTACAATTTACCCAAGGTACCACAGCTAGTATCACTACAATAGGATTTAAATTAGTTCTGTCTTTTTCAGTAAGCTATGCACATATTTTTTTAAATTAATAAAGCTTATGTTGTTATCCCATCAGTAGCTAAGTCAAAATTAAGTTAGAAAAAAAATTTCACACCTG